TAACAACATACTCACATGTATAATAACATACTCACATGTATAACAACATACTCACATGTATAAGAACATACATGTATGAATACATACTCACATGTATAAGAACATACTCACATGTATAACAACATACTCACATGTATAACAACATACATGTAAAAAAATTAAAGAAGAATATATTATGAAAATGACTCTTCTGTTTCAAAGAGAAGCACAAGGGTAGGAGGAGTGTTGGAATGTTTGCTATTCCATTTTGAGTTGGATGTGTTATTACCTTGATTTCTGCCATACTTCCAGTAGTCGTCAGTCTTCCCTTAATGAGAAGTCACAAATAAAAACACACACTGAGTTAACACTGACCAGGAGCCCCCACTTTCATGATTGTTAAAGCATGTGTGAGGCATTTAAAAGCTGTGCTTTCCACGCTTATCTTGGTGGCTGAGTTTTGAGTAATCTGCTTTTCAGTCCTGACTTAGGCCAGGCAAGGAATTTGGAGTTTCTGTTTCAGTTCTCTCTTCAGATGTAATTTAAAAAAGGGAACCCCCCCCCCCCAACTTCTACCCTAACAACAAAACTTTATTAGTGTGACAGGACTGAAAGTCAACTTGGCAAAAATACTGACTGGTATCAAAGCACTTTATATTTTTGTATTTTCCACTGTTGTCAGGTTGACAGAATATTTAAATTAAAACATAAGATGATGACGACTCATTTTTAAGCAAAAAGAAAGAGAAAGAACCAAAGAAATCATAGAGGATCTTCTAGCCAGGAACTGATTATTAGTATCTTCCTTTGAAGGGTTTTACCATGTCAAGATTGAGATAGAATAACTTTTAATTTTAAAATCCATTATTTAGGGGCCCAGGATTTATTGAAATATGGTGAAAGACTTCAGTATGAGACTCTTATTTTAGGAAACTTATTTTAAATCTTTTTCTTCTGATTGCCAAGTTGGTGCCAGAAGGTACAGTAAGAGTTAATGCAATTGTCTGATTGTTTCCTATGACAACAGACCAGGGGCTCTTGTGTTGACAGTCTTGGCTTGGAGTTTTGGTTGTGTTTATTTTTTTAAATTTTTTTTATATTGGTTTGTTTATAAAGTTAGTATACATTGTGTTTCATACAATAATTCCCATTTATAGAATTAATTATCATTAAACTATGCCCACCATTACCTTGCCTTTCCAGATTCTTGCTGGGTTGTTTGTTGTGTTTTGTTTTTTTTAAACATCAACCAGACAAATTAAGATCAGATTATTCTTAGTGTAAGCATTAAAAACAAGAGAACTTTCTATTTGATGAATGTGAGTTGTTTGAATCAAATAGCAGTAGATTTTTTTTCTTGAAGTCAAATGGAAGTTTCCTTTAAACTTGTTTGGAATGTGGTTATCTTTGTTTTACATATTTGGAAATGGGGATCCCTTTCTCAAATTCAATGATAAAATTTAATAACTTATTTGAGGAAACGTATTCTACCTGTCTTTTTTCTTTCCATGTTGGTTTGTCTGCAGCTTTAATTAACCCATGCCTCTTCGGATTTATCTTCTTATAGACTTATAGGTGTGCTGTGGCACATATAGTATTGCTTCCCCTAGTCTGAGACACGTATTGTGCCCCTCATTTATCTCTGCTGCCTCTATTTTAGAAGCACAGATAATGATGATGCTACTAAAAGGAAAGTCAACCTGGTCTTTGAGAAGATCCAGACTTTGAAGTCTCGAGCAGCGGGGAGTGCACAAGGACACCACCAGGTAAATGAAGTTGTGTATTTTGCAAATGGCAATGTCTTAGTCTGTATGTTTGTTTATAGCAGCGACTGGGGAGTTTCCTAAGTGATGAGCAGGTAGAGGGTGTATTTTAGGCATTATTAATTTTCATTTTGCGTTGGGTTTTTTTTTTAAGAAATATTTTAAGACACCCCTTCTCCCTATTATAGCCTCAAATATAGATGGTAAAGTCCAGAAAGGAACATAAGCATAAAATAAATAACTGGTAGTTGAAGAAGCCTAATATTAACATAAATAGACAAATTTGGGATGTAAAGGTGAATGAATGAAAGCTCCAAAGCCACAGGTGTGAAATAGAATAAGGAAAAGAGCAAGAGAATAGCAACTTAGATGCAAATAAAAAGAAGGAATAAAGTAATACCAAATTATTTTACAAAAACAGACTGTTTAGTTTATTGTATTAAATTAAAGTTCAAACTTGGGGGCATTTTGTTGTTAAAAAAGGAGTCAACTCCTATTGGATGGATATATTCTGTATGTTAAATATACCTTGTCCTGTGAAAGGAAGTAATTGCATTTAAGAGAAGACAGCTGAAAAGGAAGCCCTTATTTTCATCTGAAAATGAGGCCACCCTTGTATTGGGGCTTACTCCTTGCTTTTTGTTTCTTCCCTTTTGGGGAAAATTGTAAAGGGAAGAAAAGATATTCAGAGGAAGATGCAGGGAAGTTTTGCCTACATTTTATTTTTTAACTTTGGAAATGTGTACAGAATATATTTTTAATCTTCAATAACCTTCTTTTCACTAGGGCTCAATATTACCCTAACACTAGATCAAGTCATGAGTGCTGCTCTGTCTTCAAATAGACCCACTAGGGAAACTTTAAATCATTCACTTTGCTGATAGGCAGCTTTGGAAACTCTATATCATTCTTAATATTAGCTCAATGTTTTTGACTAAGAATCTCACATTTCATTTATCTCAGTGGTTCTTGCTTTTCCTTTTCCAGCATGCTTTTAGGGGAGAGTGCATCCTTTGGTCTTGTTGTTAAAATTATTATTGTGCATCACAGATCAAAAACATCCACTTCTAACTTGAGGAAGTCAAGTTAGTTGCTTTAGAAATGATGACATGAGGTTTCTCTTAAAAGATTATCAGATTGTCGGGGAGAAGAAGGGAAGGCAGGGTTTTCTAGGTAGAGGAGTAGTATGAGCCAGTATGAAGAGAGTCATGTGCTTGCCACATAGAGGGAACTGGGGATAGTTTAGTGTAGCTGGAGCACAGAAACAGGATGTAGGAAGGAAGAGCCAGAGGGCAGGAACATTGTAAGCCATGTAAGAGGGCTTTGCTTCAAACTCAAGGTGATAGGCTATCACTAATGGATTTAAACAGGAATGAATAGTGTTGTTTTTGTGAAAATTCATTCTCATGGTGGAAGAGAGCCTAATGAAGGTCCTGCCAAATCAAGCAAGAGATGATGAGATGAATGAAGGCTGGTAGAAAGCTGGCTCTACTCACAGTGCTGTGACTGTTTCGTTGCCCATATTTTTCTGCCCTCTTCTGCCTCGCCTTTTAGTTCTTAAATCTGATTGTATGCTGGCAAAGGTTTTGCAGCTTTATCTTTTGGTGTCAGTTAAGTGATTTTTTTTTCTGGTAGGGAATATAAGAACTCTCTCATCTCGATGCACTGAGACAATAGTAGAAAGCAACAAAGCAGGTTTTCATTTGGGATAGAGCAATGTACAGTTTCCCTCGCTGAGTGGTATTTATACTGTCTAAAATGAATTGCTCTCGTTTTTTCCTAAAAATACTGGAGTTCTGTGCTTTTCTTGATTCTTGGTTTCTGGTCCCATTCATGGGAATAGGAGGGAAGTACCTCATTACAATGGTACAACTCACACCTGGATTTAGAAACATTTGAGCTGAGAGACTGCTTTTTCCAGCCTGCATTCCTACTTTAATCTCTTCCCCTCACCTCTTTGTAATGCTCTAACCACTTTACTGTGGGATTTTAGCCAAATATTTTTGAGCACATCATCCTGATATTTTCGTAGAAGGAAATAAGAAAAGGTCTACTAAGATTCATATGTGGAACACATATTTTCTAATGTATTCTCTTCAATCAGATCCTTTTAGAACTTTTCATTAGAGAAGAAATATATCATCCGAAAGAAGAAAGCCAATTTTTTTAGCACTGTTCCTTGCATTTTGTTTCTCTGGGTTTCTATCTAGGATTGTTTTTCTTCAGCCTGAGGCACTTTATCTACTATCTTGTAGTGCATTTCTATTGGCAGGGAATTCTCTTAGATGTTGTTTGTCTGAGAACAGCTCTAATTTACTCTCATTTTCAAAGAACTCTAGTTTGGCAAAATATTTTATTTTGTTTTTTCATTTCTTTAAACATGATAATTTTTATTTTTTTTCTTTGTCTTTTGGTCCTATGTATTCTCCTGTGAAACCAATAATTAGCTTCAGTTTTAGAAGTTTAACTGTGATGTAGCTAACAAAGTTCTTTTGCATTTATCTCAATTGGCATCCATTTAGTTCTTGACTATAAGACATTAATTGGATTTTAGAAATTCTTAACTATTAATTTTTTCTCTTGTTACTCTTCACTTTCCAGTGTTTCATGAATCTTATACCTATCTGCTCGTAATGTATTTAATATCTTTTATGCTCTATTCTTTTGTGTTATTATGATAATTCTTAGTGTAATTCCCCTTGCCTCTATGCGTCTGATATTCTGGTTCTTATCTTTTATTGTGATTTGAAGTTGGTTTTTTTACTCAATCGTTTATAAGCTTTTTGTCCTTTTTTAAAATTGCAATTTAAGTGAAAATATATAAAGCAAATTGATATGTATTTTCTATTAATTTACTTCAAACTCACTAATTGTGTCTGTGTCATCCTAGTAATGCACTGAGTTCTTAATTTTAACTATTTTGTTTTGCAATTCTGTAATATCCATTTAGTTCTATCTTTATAGACTCTAAATCTTCTGTTAAAATAATTGTATCTTTTTAGTTTACTTTGTCCATAGTAATTTTGAAATTCTTTACTATTAGCTATAATATATAGATCCTCTGTCCTTCTGTTGGTCATTTTTCTAGCTTCTTGGCATATCTGGGATTTAAAAATACCATATACTTGCTACTGTAGATGGTAAATTACAAAGGTTTTAGATTGATTTCTCTCAGAGGAATGTTGAGTTTTATTTTGGCAACAAGTTAAATGATTTCCAATATGCTTGATCCTATATGCTTGTTTTGGAACATTGGTAAGGAAGAGCTATTGAAAATGAATACCTATTGAAGATATTGGGAGCTCTGGTGACCTAGTAGGTAAGGAGTTACGCTGTCAACCCAAAGACAAGTGGTTCTTATCCACCAGCTACTACGTGGAAGAAAGATGGGCCGTCTCCTCCCATGGAATTTAGAGTCTCTGAAAAATTGCTTGAGGCTCAACCCTATGAGTTACTTCTGTCTTGATGGCAATGAGTTGGGTTGTTGAATTGTTAAAGTGTGATTCCATCTCATTTCTTGCCTCTTAACTTACTGCTTGAATATTTAGAATGGTTTCTTTTCTTTGACTGAGAACTCCAGCATTGTGTGACCTCTGAAATCTGTTGGGCTGATTGCCTCCTAATAACTGTTCACTGCTAGACCTCCCAGAATCTTGTTCTGTTCATAAAATGCTTAGGAATCCAAGGATCTAAGGAGTATTAGGTGTAGATTTTTCTAGCTGCTTTTCTTAGTTTCTGTTCTTTGCAATACCCTGGCCCTGCAATCTCTTTTTCCTTAGCATTTTTGAACTCCAGTCTCTTGTTTTCTTTGTCTGGGAGCTGCCACTCTTTTGGACTTTTAAAATTTTTACTGTGCTGTGGTTTTGGAAAATCACCCTTTTGGGGGAATTCAGAGTGAATATAAAGCTACGTTATGTGCTTTCTGTTTTTAATGATTTTAGATCCATGCTAGTTGTTTTACAGTGCCTGAAAAAATTGAAGTTTCCCCCCTGTTTTGCCTAGTTTTTATATTACTTAATGATAATGTAAATCTTTTATAATTTTTACTGATAAAGTAAATGCGATACCACTACCCTATTATGACTACAATTGGAATTAGTTATTTAATGAGCTAAAACAATTATTTAATGAGCTTTTACTAGGTTTAGGAGAAGTGTTAGTTTCTATAGTTACAGAGATGCATAAATGGGTCTTGACCCCTAAAAATCCATCCTCTTACTGTAGTAATTCTCATTAAGAGAAACTACTACTAAGAAAAATTGAAGCAAGATTGAGATACTCTGTTATTAAAATAGGAATATGTCTGTCTTACCCTAATTTGCTTATAAATTGTCACTGATATTTTTGTTATCCAGACATATCTGTAAACTGGAATCTTAACTTTATTTTAGAAAGTTTTCCTAAATTCTACTTATTCTATGTTTAATAATGGGATTGTCTCATAATGTTTTATAGCAACCCTTAAGGACTTCCAAAGAGTATACATTTGGGCAAATGGTAGTCATGCTGGTGTGGTATTGAGATACTTGGTTAGATAGTCGCTGATTATGATAAGTGATGTGAAAATGTTCTCTGGAGCCCCAGTGGGGTTCCCATGATGAAGTCTGCCTGTGAATTTAGGTAAGGGCTTGTGCAGGGGGTTGATATTTGAATTAAGTCTTGTGATGTTCAGTATTATATCTCATCTCTTATTGATTTGATTACCTTTTTGAGTGGGAGAGGAATAAAATAAAACCTGCTGGATATTTTCATTAGGATATTTTTGCAATTAATTACAGGCTTCTAATCCTTCATCTGAAATAAAAGATCTATTGGAACAGAAAGACAAGTTGACTACAGAAGTGGCTGAACTTCAGAGACAGCTTCAACTTGAAATCAAGGTACATGTTTCTTTTTTTCCCTGTACATGTTTCCCTCCCCCATTCTTATTTTAATAAAGACTCCTTTAAACACTTTGAGATAGTGAACACTGAATACATTTCTTTATATTTGTCAGTGGCTGTCTAATGAACTTTGTTGCTTTTTGTTTTATTTTTTTTTCAAGTATCAGAAGCATAAAGAGCTTGTTTGTTAATAAAAGGAAAGCTGTTGATTTAGGACACAGATCTAGAGAAAGCTAAATGTATATGAAGCTTCAGAACTAAATGATTGAAATAATAGCATGAGATTTAGTTGTACTCATGGGTTGATTGTTTTTTTTTTTAAAGAAATACTACATGTTCATTTAATACTTACTATTCCTTCTAGTTACAGACTCCTATGCCTTCATTGGAAAGGATGACTAAGTTTTTAAAATAATAATGTGAAGGTGTGGAGTTGATAAAGCTACGAGAAATCAAGATTTAGAAGTAGGTTTCTGTGGATCAGGTTAATGTGCAGTGAAGTTACTTTAAAGCCACACTTACTCTTGTCAGAATCAACAGAACGTCAAAGAAGAGAGAGAGAAAATGAGAGCCAACTTAGAAGAGCTGCGGAGCCAGCATGAAAACAAGGTGGAGGAGAACTCCGTGCTGCAGCAGCGACTAGAGGAGAGTGAGGGGGAGCTCCGCAAAAACCTGGAGGAGTAAGTCTGGGCCAAGAGCTGCTCCCTTCCTGGGCTTGTGTGTGTAACGAGACCTTCAGTGAATGCTGCTTAGCCTTCCAAATATTTATAGTAGAGACTGCTGACCCTCCTTTCCCCACTCTAGTACTTATGAAATTGTGAGATGTGTGTACACTGTGAGCAGAGACGTTAGTAATTAAAAAACAATTTTATGTCGTTTGTGGAGTATATCTTGTAAAGTTTTAATCCTCACAGTAGATTGCACACCAGGTAAGAGAGAAGGGAACACTAAGAGGTGACCTCTAAAGATTAAGATCCAGAAAATACATGTTACATGGCCTCTAGAGTCTTCTGGCTTCTGAATTTTATCTTGGATAGTGCCAGTTTCTGTAGCCAGTAACTATCGTGAGTCTGAAGAAAAGAAAAGCCATGTTCAAGATGACTTCGTCTTTGTGCTGTATCAAAGCCTGTGGCAGATCCAAAGCCAGGGTCTGAAATTGCTTCATAACAGGGAAGCTTTAAGTGAAGTTGGACACAACTGAGGCATGACATATAAGACAAGTAGTAGATTATATAAGAATAGTACAAGGAGAAATGTAGCATCAGGATTGATGGAAGATTCAACGACCTGTGTTATGCAGATGACACAACCCTGCTTGCTGAAACTGAGGAGGACCTGAAGCACTTGCTGCAGAAAGTCAAGGACTGCAGCCTCCAATATGGATTGAGGCTTGATATCAAGAAAACAAAGATTCTCACCACTGGACAAATTGGCAGCATCATTATGAATGGTGAAGAGATTGAGATTGTTAACAGTTTTAATTTGCTTAGCTCCACAGTCAACACTCTTGGTACCAGCAGCCAAGAAATCAAGAGATGAATTGCATTGGGAAAGTGAGCTGTCAGGGACTTCTCCAGAGTACTGAAGAGCAGTGACGTCAGGCTGGAGACTAAGGTGTGCATGATCCAGGCCATAGTCTTTGCAATTGCATGCTATGCAATGGAGGGCTGGACAGTGAAGTAGGGATCATAGAAAGAGAATTGATGCCTTTGAGTTGTGGTGCTGGAGAAGAGTGTTGAATATACCGTGGACTGCTAGGAGAACAAACAGGTTTGCCCTTGAGAGGGTGAAACCAGGCTGCTCTTTTAAGGCAAGGATTCTGACGCTTCATCTGACATACTTTGAACATGTTGCAAGGAGGGACCAGTCCTTGGAGAAGGACATCATGCTTGGGAGAGTGGAGGGACAGCACAGGAGAGGAAGACCCTCAATAAGATGGATTGATTCAGTGATTGGGGTAATGGGAGTAGGTGTGGCAGAGACAGGTTGGTACAGGATAGAGCAGGGCTCTTGTGCATAGGGTTGTTATGAGTTGCAAGTGACTCGATGGCACATAACAACAACAACAACAACAACAATAATAACAATAAACATGAAATATATGTATGCTCCTACAGATGGTTAGTGCAGTCTTTGCTTTTATATTGTATACAGAGGTTAATTTCAGAAAAGAAATTGAGAAGGAAAAAAATATCAAAGAATTTAGGGTATAGTAAAGACAAAAAAGTGTAAGAGCCTGAAGAACTTTTTCTGTAAATTTTCAGTTAAATATTTTAGAGTTTATAGGTTATATGCTCTTTGTCTCAGCCATTCATCTCTGCTATAATATCATGAAAATAGCTATTTGCCATACATAAATAAGTGAACATGATTGTGTTCCAATAAAACTTTTTTTGCAGAGTAGGTTGCAGGCTAGACTGGCCCTCAGCTGTAATCTATTGACTTTTCTGGAGTGGAGTACTCAGTGGTGGTGGGGTGACAGGAACTAGAAAAAGAGGATGGCTTAGTGAAAGTTGTCAAAAAAGTTGTCATTGTTAAATGTCCAGATGCTAGTGACTTATGTACTTTTATGTGTTTTGAGGATGTACTGTTAGAAGATGCCACTGTGCTACTGGATTCGTATATACCCTCACTGGATTAATTTCTCTATCACTGAACTAGCTATGAGTTCTCTTTAGATGCCTTTTCAGGTCAGATGGTTGCTTGTTGAGTGCAGAACAGAGAGAGTTGGGCTTCTTGGGGCTTACAGTGACTGTGCCTGATCCTCTGAAAGTGTGAATTCTGACTAGATGTAGATGAGCAGAGGCTGGAAAGATTGTGTTGATGGCCTTTTTTCTCCTGCCAGACTGTTCCAGGTGAAGATGGAACGGGAACACCACCAGACTGAGATCAGAGACCTGCAGGACCAGCTCTCGGAAATGCATGATGAACTGGACAGTGCCAAACAGTCCGAGGACAGGGAAAAGGGGGCTCTGATTGAGGTGAGGAGGATAGGGGGCCAGGTGACAAGAGATCCTCCTCCTGTCTTGAGAAGATGGGTTAGGTGGACAGACTGGGTTTTACTTGGTGTTTTCTGTGACATCTATTTACTCCATCTGTGTTTACAGTTAGATTCTGCAAGAATATATAACTATATTAAAACATCTTTTTAGGTAAATTTGCAACTAAACAGAAAGTAGAAATAGGACATTAACACTCACAGATTCTAGCCCAAATCCAACTCTTGTCAATATTTTGTTTTGTTTACACTATGATTCATGTATCCATTCACCTCACCCATTTTTTTTTAATTTTAATGAAAGTTTACAGAAACTTAGGGTTTCCATTCCTTCATTGTTGCACTTTTCTCCCTGCCCACCCCTCCCCCCCAATTCACTTTTCTCCTTGAAAAGTAAAGGAAAAACTTTCATTGTTATACAATCCCTCCCCCCAAGTCCACTCCACTGTGCAGCCTTCATTCTGGACTCCTGTCATGACAATAATACCCAATCCCTTTTTTTAAATTAATGAACATTTATAGAGGTTTTTGGATTTCCAGTCATTAATTGTTGCACTTTTCTGCGCCCCCCCCCCTCCCCCCAGTTTGCTCTTCTCTTTGAAAAGTATAAGTCCTTCATTGGTATACAATCCCCCTGCACCCTCTCACCGCCCCGAGTATACTCCACTCTGCAATGTTCATTCTGGACTCTTATGATAATCATAATACCTTATAATATATTGCTTTTGAACTGTTCTCTCCCTCATCCGTTTCAATGCAGTATATATAATTTATCCAGTTTTTCTCATTGTTTCCCCAACCCTGATGTCAGTCCCATTTCTACAAGAGTGGCATGATGCAGTGTTTGTCCTTTTGTGACTGAGATATTTCACTCAGCATATATATTCCTTTTAAACAGTTCTCTCCGTATATATCATTCATCCCCTCCTTCTCTGTCTTCCTTCAACCCCAATGTCAGTCCCGTTTTACAACAGTGGCCCTATGCAATATTTGTCCTTTTGTGACTGAGATATTTCACTCAGCATAATGTCCTCCAGGGTCATCCAATTTGCATAATATTTCATGAGTTCTTTGTTTTTCAATTCTGCATAGTATTCCATTGTTTGAATATACCAGAGCTTCTCTATCCATTCATTTGTTGATGGGCACTTGGGTTGTTTCCAGGTCTTTGCTATTGCAAACAAAGCCACAATAAACATGGGTGTGTATATATCTGCTTGGGTGGCAGTTATGGTTTCTTTAGGGTAAATTCCTAGTAGTGGTATTTCTGTTTGCAGCTTTTTGAGAAAGCGCCATACAGCCTTCCATAATGGTTGAACCAACCCTTTTTTTCCCTGTTGCATTTTGATCATTTCAAAATAAGTAATAGATAATGCCATTCCTATATTTTCTGAATATATCTTTTTTTTTAAAAGAGAGATTCTCTTACATAACTACAATACCATTATCCCATGTAACAGTAATTTTGTAATATATAATATATTTAAAACAAACTTATTGCCACAAAGTCACTTCTGACTCATGACAACCCTCTCCTGGATTTTCCTAGGATGCAAATCTTACCTGAATCATGTGGCTTTCTCCTCCCTAGAGTGGCTGCTGGATTTGAACTGCTGACCTTTCAGTTAGCAGCCCAACTCCTAACCTGCCATGTCACCAGAGATCTCATATTATCTGTTACTGTTATTTACCATTGAGTCAGAGCTGACTCCTAGCTGCCCCTCCAGCTAGTTTTCAGAGCAGTAAATCATGCAGGAGATTGCTCATTTGTCTCCTACAGAGCAGCTGGTGGATTTGAACTGTCTGCCTTTAGGTTGGCAGCCCAGTTATTCACCACTAGGCCACCAGAGCTCCCTCTTGTATATAGCATAATTCTGGTACTTACTTCTTACTCAGAGACCCCTAGTGGCTTAGTGTGCAAGAAGTTTTGCTGACAATCAAAGGCACACAATTTTTTTTTAGTAAACAATTTTTAAAATTTTATTTTATTAATTTTAATGAACATTTATAGATATTTTGAATTTCCATTCATTCATTGTTGCACTTTTCTCCATACCCAGCCCCCCAACCCCCCAGTTCACTCCTCTCTTTGAAAATTAAAAGAAAAATTCTTTCCTTGGTATACAACCCCCACCACATACACCCTCACCACCAACCTGAGTACACGCCATTATGCAACCTTAATTCTGGACTCTTGTGATAACCATAATACCCTATCATATATTGCTTTTAAATTGTTCTCTCCCTCATCTGTTTCAATTCAGTATACACATAATTTATCCAGTTTTTCTCAGTCTTACCCCAACCCTGATGCCAGTCCCTTTCTACAACTGTGGCACCATGCAGTATTTGTCCTTTTGTGATCGAGCTATTTCACTCACACAATTCTAATCCACCAGTTACTCCAAAGGAGAATGATGGGCAGTCTCCTCTTATATAACTTACAGTCTCTGAAACCTGCTGAGGAGTCAGCTGTGAGTTGGTACAGATTCAGTGGGACATAACAGCTACAATATCTGTAGGTGTCAAGTTGCCTTGAGGGAACAAACTGTTTTAAAACCACTGAGATTCCTTGTGGAATATGCTTAGTAGAAGAAGCCGCAGCTGATTCAAAAGTTAGTGGTTTGAACCCACTTAGGGGATCTGTGAGAGAAAATATATGGTGATCTGCTTCCATAAAGATTGCAGCCTTGTTCATACACAATAAAGAGCTGATTAGAAATCATAATTAGTTAATTAATACATTAATCAATGGTAATTAATATTTCTAATCAAAGTGGCTGGAAATATGTGAAAAACTAATATGATTTGTAAAACCTTCACTCAAATAATAAATAAAAGAAATGTTAAAATAAATTAATAGAATAAATATTATAGCCTAACATTAAAAAATAAAATGTTAAACCCAAAATATGCATTTGCTATGAACTGAAATAGATTTGCCTCCAGCAAGAACAACCTGGTTTTGTCTAATCACCACCTGTATTTTGACTTACTGATGTTTGCTCTAGTTTGAATTTTATTTTTTTATAAGCTTGCTTTTGTAGGAATACCTCAATAAAGAAATGATTCACAATTGAGAATAAAACCAGAAAAAACACAATAAAACCTCCTAGAACACCCTTCACAAAATCAAAGGCATCCTGTTAGTGTTTAACTTCATTTCTCTACTCGTTTTCCCTTTAGGTTTTAGGTCTTTTCTTGACCCTTTCTTGGGGTTAAAAGCTCCTGGCTCCTATGTCCCTGCAGTTCCTTTTAAGTTTCAACTGTCAACTGTTTTCTTACCGCCTTCCTTGTTTGATTTTGAAATAATTCCCCGGGAGGGATATTAGCTCTTGCTCCTCAGAACTTCCCCTTTTTTTCTTCCCCGTGACTTTACAGGAGCTGGTGAGAGAGACTAGCCACACAAGCCAGGAGTTCTCATCAACTCATTTCCCCACACTCCCTGGTTGGCTCCCTGCTTCCCCTTTAGGGTGGAGAGTAGTTTTCTCTTCAGAAATTTTTTCCTGAGAAGGCCTCAGGTTTTTTTCCCCTTACCACCTGATATCCTTTCTTATCGATTGATTTCTTGAAAGCCATCACATTCATGGCATGGGATAAGATACAGCTTCTCATAGCTCTGCCTTCTTTTCAGAGATCAGTTACAGAGACAAGAGGTTTAGAATCAGGCTTTAAAAATATGTATACTTTTCCCTAGAATATTAACATAGAATGCAAAAATGAGTGGGGAGAAACATATTTTCAAAGCCCTTAACAGCTATTTGTATCTCTGTATTTCCTGTTTGCCTCCCATCCACCTAAAGGGAGTTCTGGTGGCCCATAGGTAAGGAGTGCTGCGCTAACCCCAGGGCATGTGTGTTAGATCCTCCAGCTATTCTGTTGAAGAAAGAGGCTCAGTCTCCTCCTGTGTGATTTGCAGCTTCTGAAAGTCTGCTGGAGGGTCGGCTGTGAGTAGGTTCAGATTCTGTGGCACATAACAGCAGCAATATCATCCACCTAAATAATAGAGAACATAGTGTCTCCTGCAATATTAATAGCTGCTTAAAGAGGTTGATGTCAGGAGCATTTTTATTGTAACTCAGTGGTGCATATAACAAGAATAGCCTGTCCTAACAACATGTCCAAAGGATGTAAGACACAGCTTTATTATCTATGCCTCTAAGAGCACTCTGGTCACACTTTCTCCAAGACGTGTCTGTTTGCTTTCTTTGCAGTCCCTGGGATATTCAGTGCATTTCTCCAACACCACGCTTAAAGACATCACTTCTCTCATCCTTATTCAGACACAAGTGGTTGAAATCTCTAGATACTTTATGGTGTTTAATAAAGTGTAGCTTCATAGATAACTTTAAATAGAAGACTGGTGAATCTTGTGATTCTGAGCTGAATATCAACATTGATTCTAAAATAAAAAGATACCTTTCTTTTGATTCCCTGTTGTCCTTAAGATTCCCTGCTGTTGCACTCTTGACTTTGTTTTGTGACAACTCTCCTGTTACTTTCTTCTTCTTACCTCATAACCTCGTCTCATTGCTGTTGTCAGGACCAACTCATAGCTGACCTTCCAATGGGTTTTCAGAGGCTGTATATCACATGGGAAGAGATTGCTCATCTTTATTCCATGGAGCATCTGGTGGATTTGAACACACATCACAGCTTCTTAGCCACTAGGCTACCAAAGCGCCCTCTTTCTTCCACCAGCTGCCTAATTCTAGAACGTGTTTCTCCTTCTTTCCCATCTTGTGCCTTCTAACTACCTACTGGTACAGTACCAAGTTAACAGAGCAAATGAAAAAAAAATTCATAATTTAAGTATCTTTTAAAATGTCTCTATAAAAATTAAAAGAGGGAGGAGTAATTTTAAAAAAGAACTAGTTTTTATATTATTTTTAAAAAATATTTTTTTTTACGGTTGCACATTTTCTGCCACCCCTTTTCCCTCTAACTACAGTTTTTAGACACAACATGTTAAGCATAAGTGAT